AAGTCATTATTATCTTCACAGAAAAAATTTTTGCTAGCATATGAAAGTTATACTAATTCTCAAATTAAAAAGAAAAGATGTGGAACAGAGATCAGAAATCCAATTAATATTCTCATTTCCTATGTCTCCTTTGTGCAATCAATGCTACCTTTATCATATTTTAATTTATGCGAAAGGCAACTCTATAAATGGACAGTCTCACTTATGAAAATGAGCACAGAAAATGTATACTGGTTTATTTCTATTTTATGTATAAATAAACTCCTTGTCCTTTGAGAATAACTTATGTAAAATCTGTATGCTACAGCTCTTCTTCCACTAATAATGGGAGACTGCTAGAGTCATTTCCGCTTTATCACCTTGCAAGTGTGCATATGCAAGAAGCAGTTATTTGGTCTGGGATATAAATAGCTGAAATGAATTTTCTATTTCCTCTTTTTTTTCCTGACAAAATATATTTAAATGCCAGCTGCATTATAACCTTCAAACAACTCAATACCAGTTCTTGAGATGCCATTAAATGTATGAATACAAGTAAATATGAAGAACTTAAAATTTTGTTCTAATTGCCTTTAGCTTTTTTTTTTTTTTTTTAGTTGTAGATGAACACGACATCTCTATTATATATTTATTTATTATTTTTTTATGTGGCGCTGAGGATTGAACCCAGGGCCTCATGCTTGGGAGGCAAGTACTTTACTGAGCTGAGCTACAACCCCAACTTTTTTAAATAAATAATCATTTAACAATTAACTTCTCATTCTAAAAAAAATTATAAAAAGTAGAGGATGAAGCTGATTGCTCAAAAAGTTCTCCTTCATCCAGGAAAAGGAGATAGAGAGCCTAAGAAAATTCCATAGAATAATAATATCATATTTATGGAGTGTCTAAAATATTTTACACTTATATTTCACTAAGAATTCCAAGCTGCCCTATTCATAATTTTTTGCAATTATAGATGTGTTCACACAATATTATAATTAGTTTTTAGAGTGAATAATTTCTTTCTGCTTTCTAATAGTCATAGCCTCTTGAACAATATTTTTGTTCTTAAGACTAAGCCTGTGTAAGATAAACATTAGGGATTTGCTGGTTGGTTGAGTGAGTAATTGGTTTGTGTAATCAGTGAAAGGGAACTGGGGATTAAAATATTAATAACTTGACCAACATGCAACATTAAGCCATAAAATCAGGTCTTAAACATTTGTGCACTATCTCCAAAAAGTCTCTTCACATTTAGCTTTTTGTTTCCTCTATAACCTTTGCATATGATGGAACAGAGTCTGGTCTGAAACCTAGACTTATGATAATCAGATTGCTTTCTCTACTTCCAGGAAAAACTAGTGGCATAGGCTAACCCTAGATGCCCAGATGCTTTACCAAACAAAAGCATGGTTTCTACTGGCTCTCATGTAAATACAATTCAAATAATGGTTTCAAAACATAATACAATTATTTATATATGCATATATATAATTATTCATTTATTTAATGTTTGCACAGCTTCTTTTGTATTTTCATGAAATTTCATATATTCTAAGCTGTCATATTTCTAGTATTAACTATTCCAGGAAATTAGCATTTAACAACTCTGTATTAGTAAAATTATAACATTGTAGTGCTTAAGGTACATTTAATTTTCTCATTTTAAGTTTCTTAGAGACAATCCCTCCCTACTTTGTTCTCTGCACTTCCTCAAAATTATGTCTTTAATATCTCTTAACAGCTTTCCATTGCTTAATGATTCATTCTCACTCTATATGAATATTAAATAGAAAATGTCTTAGGTTAAAAAACGAACAAAATGGCATGTATGTATTTACTTTCTTATGCACAAGTATTTAAATCCATTTGTTTCAAAATTCCAACTACATAAACTTACAAAGCCATACACACATAATTGATGAGAAWCATGGTAAACTATCACTAAAGCCCAGTATAAAGTCAAATTAATATGCATTTTTCAACTTTCTGAATCAGACAGAATTTATGACATTCCATAATTTGTGGAGAATGATCATAACAGAAAGAAGATTGGTTACAGTTGTTTAGAATTTTACTTACATGTATATACAGAATACAATAAGAATCCCAAGAAGACCCTCAAGAAAGTAAGTTACTAAAGGCCTCCAGCCATTATTTTACTGAAAATATAAAAGTAACAATTTTTCTGATAATTATCATTTTATATCTCAAAAACAATTCAGGAATATACATGTATTACATATAAAAATAAATCAAATATATTGAGTAAATTAGCATAGAGATTTAAATGTTAGGGATCACCATTCCAGAACTTAACTTCAATTTGTCTTGTTATTTGATTGCAATTGCCTTCAAAATCAATTTTTTTTTACCATATCTGTATACTGTGAAAACATGTAATATTTCTTAGGTTTATTCCTCTGAAAGGAGTATGAACACTTTTTATATTGACATTAAGACCAAACAGCATTAAATGGTTAGAAAAACTTTCTGAATTTAGTTAAAACAGTTTAAGGGTACAGTGCAGTAAAATCATTCATCAGTTTGGGTAAATTAAAGTACCCATATCTTTTTTTGTTGTTTTTTCCTGCAGTCCTGGGGCTTGAACCCAAGGTCTCATACATGTCAGGCAAGCAAAATGCCACCGAGACACATTCCATTTCCACATCTTCATTTTAAATTATAACTATCTAAAATTTGACCTGTATGTGACTAATACAATTTTTTTAAAAAAATACGTTTTCATTTGAAAGAGGATTAACTATTTCTACAACTTCCCCCCCCTCCACCCCGGGCCACATCCCCAGCTTTTTTTTATTTTGTATTTTGAGACAGGGTATCCCTAAGTTGCTTAGGGCCTTGCTAAATTTTATTTCCACAAGTTTTAAACAACAGTTTGAATATATGATTCATAGTAAGTTTTTTAAACATTCACTGTACCAGACCGTACAATTGCATCATTCAAAACAACTTGTAATTGTCCTCTGAAACTTCATATATTATGATTCATCTAAAAATTTTAGATGGTAGTTGTGAGTTCTTACTCCCATCATACACTGTGATGTCAAAAATAAATGAGAAAATAAAATAGAAAATTATCTATTTCACTAATATTATTTAATAGAATATTGGTAAAAATCTCAGAATTCAAGCAATAATAACCAGGATAGATATGCATGTTATACTTTTTATACTAAACAAATTTAAATTCTCCATTTTCAAATGCTGAACTATTCTATAGCTTGAGTCTTAATTACCCAAACATTTAATTACTGATTCTTTTTTAAAAATTATTATTTATGGTACTAGAGATTGAAAGGGGATGCTGGGTGAGTTTTATTATTGAGCTGCATTCCCAACTATTTTTATTTTTTTATTTTGAGAAAAGATCTTACTATGTTGCTTAAAGCCTCACTAAAGTACTGAGTCTACCCCTGAACTTACAATCCTCCTACCATTCACCTCTTAAACTACTGGATTATAGGCATGTACCACCTTGCTCAGCTTGCTCAGTTATTCTTAAAGTAATACCATTACCCCAAAATATTTTAAATATATGATTAACAGAGACTTTGCTTTAAAGAAAATAATAATTAATGGTTCTGTATCAATCAGTTCTTACCTTGATAGTTGAGATCTGTCATAAAATTTAATTTATTTATATTATGATAGTTGAAAGAATTCTTTAAAAATCTGAAACCATTTTAACATTTTCCTGAATATATAAGAATATTATTTATCCATTTCATTATACCAAGACATATGAAACAATGTACCAAATGTAACATTATAACATAATAAACATAGCATCTACAATTCTCAAAATTATTTTGAAGAATATGCTTATTATAGTATATCTTCAAAAACACAAATCATACAAACATATGCATAGAACTATATCTAAATTATTTAGAACTTTAAATAAACAATTTTAGTATTCAATGTTTAAACATTTGCTGGGGACCAAAAATGTCTGTAACATTTTCTTATTTGTGGTTTTCTTGAGAGAGACATTTTAAAAGCATACAGTGATGTAAAGTACCACTTAGCTAGGAATGAATCTTCTGATAATCAGCACTAGCATCTTAATAATGATTGGGTTTTATGTGAACTAATTCATAAAGAAAAAAATTTGAATTAAATAAATGTTATAGTAATGTAATACATACCATTATAGATGAAAAATTTTTTTGCAGTTATGATTTTAGTATTAAGCAAATAATGTGTCTAAAACAACAATGTCTGTTTATGTGGAAGTGTGTCTTAGAGTACATCTGTAAGCTTGGAAATTTTCTAAAATCCCCAGATATATCATCTGTGACTGCCAGGAGTTTCATAAGAAGTATGTACTATAATGGCAATGTGCTACTATTAAATATTCTCAGTTTTATTAAATAAATTTAAAATATATTCTACTAAGTGCAGCAGAGATTATAGTTAATCACATGAAAGTTGAAATTTTCATCATTTTTTCATGCAGAAATATTTCCAAGTGAACATTTCCTCCATTGCTAATAACTGAGTATTCCAATTATAAATGGCAGCATAAATTGCTATAACCTATAATAAATAATTTTAAAGGGTCAATAATGATACAGGCAATTGGCTATATTTATGCTGACATAGCAAAACAGACTTTTTTCAAAACATAGTATAGGGTGCATTCTATGCAGGCCAGAAAATAATCTATTAAAGAAAGTATTTGTTCTGTATTTGACAAAGTAAAGCAAAGCAAAACAAAACAACAACAACAACAACAACAACAACAACAAAAATCTCATGAAGAGAAACCTATTAGGTCTATACATTTGGCAGTATCTTTGCAAGTAACATTTTGTTTTGTCAGAGAAGAAAACAATCTCAGCATATGGATATACAGTATGTCCCTGATGTGTAATATATAAGTAGTCAAGTGCATCTAGTTACAGAAATATAATCTAAGTTAGCTAAAGTTCTGAGATTCTGAAATGAGTGGTTTATTAATACATAAGACTATGTAACACATTTAAACTTACCCTTCCAATCTTACATCTGGCAGACTTCTATTAAGGGCAATCAAATCACTGGCCATAAGGTTAAACTGATTGATTTTGAACAGCTCTTTCATTTTCTCCTGGTCATCTTTAGGAATCAGAACAGCCTTTCCCATTTCTCCTGGGCCTTCTTGGTTTCTTGAAATAACAGCTGTAAGACATACACAGGTACAAACATACATACAAACACAAGATAATGAATGGAATGAAGAAACTCATGAGTTGGATTAAATTCTGAAGTGTATTAATTACAAACTGGTTCTATAATGTAATCATCCAGTCGTATTTGTAAACCATACACCACACAAAAGAAACAGCCTATTTTAATTCATTAGCTTAATGTTGCATGTTGTCTTTCAAGTGTAAACATATTAGACTAATTATTAATTATTAAGACAATAGTAAAGCACTACAAAACATCTTATCTTAAAACTTCTTAGTCATATTTTTAATACACTTATTATAAAGAGATGAAGTTGAACAGTAGGGAGACCTTATTGTTCAAAATAAAAGATAACTTTTGAAAATACACCAAGATAAATTTATTTTCACATCAAATAAAATGCTTTCATATCTGAACATATCTGCTGTCATCACATCTTCATAAAGGCCATCAGCTTAATAGTTTTTTCCTCCCATAGCAATTTGATTTATTCTCAAATCACTTTGAAATGTATAAAAAGAAGTTTCAGAGTGGTAACACATAATTTTAAATGTCAAGGTAGATAGGTGCTTCATGACTTGAAATTCACAACAATTTTCTGAACTTGGCTGCTTATTAGGAGAACTCAGTATTCCATCTTCAGGCTAACATTCTTGCTATTTCTCCCAAGTTTTCACTAAAGTTCTTAACTGCTCTAAAATGCATGTTTAAATGTGTATATGTACGTGCACACGTCTATATACATGTTAACATATAACAATAAGCCAAGTTCCAGTTGATCCTAAGGTACCTTTTAACTTACAAATCATAATAATATTAAGTTAGGTTAAGGTGAAAGGGATACAATTCTGTTCTTGACTTTTTCAATGTTTTCCTATATTATAGTTCCCATACATTAATCTAACTGAACTTAATTTGTACATAAATTAATGTGCAAATATTTTAACATAGCTTACCTCAAAATGCTATAAATATAAGTAAGGGATATTATGCATGGGAAAATGTTTAATAAAGTATAATATTTCATAAAAATATAAAGTCTAAAATGATATAAGAATATGGTAAAAAAACTAGGATAGAACACCATTAGCAAACTTTCTACTCTCTTGAGGTTCATAGTTATAAAAAAAAACAATGTTATTACTAGTATTAATCCAATATTGACTACCCAGATGGTTATTCTTTATGAAAAGTTATCCCAGTTTTGGATTAGCATGAGTCAGACAAAATGAAAGAGAATAAATACTTCTAAGGACTATTAGACATTGGTACCAGGAGGATGATTAGCCTAAAATTCTCTCATACATAGAAAAAGAAGTGGGAGATTTTAAATGGAAAAATATAGATATACAACTTCAAATTATTTAAAAATTGCCATTTGGTAAACTTGGCGTTTTTACTTTGCTAGAGTTTCCCCAAAGTTCTATGTGATAAGGGTTTATACTTCTCAATGTGGCATTATAGGTAGAAGGTGGGAACTTGAAGAGGTGGAGCCTAGTGAAAGAGCTTTAGGTAATTGTGAGACTWCAGTCCCTTCATTTTTCTTTCACTTCCAAGCCATGACATAGCAGTATTGCTCTAACACACATTCCCACCATGATTTGCTAACACAGGCCCAATATACTGGGACCAACTGATCATGGACTGAAATCTCCAAAAGTATAGGCCAAAATAAGCTCTTTCCTATATAACTGGATTATCTCAGATATTTATCATAGTGACTAAAAGGTGACTAACATAATGTAAAGAAATTTTGCAGAGATTTATCATCCATCTTAAGAAACACAATTAGAAATGATGGCTGTAATTTTATGAGACAGCATATTTTGATCATTTTAAGAAACTAAATTCTAATGGTAATAATTTATCTTGGGAATTAGTAAATTTCAGCATCCCTAACATCAGCTGGAGTTGTTAGAATTGAATTTGAGTAAATCTGTGCTCTTGGTGAGATGTTGCATTAGGTGTTCATCACTGTGATAAAATACCTGAAAAGAACAACTCAGAGGAGGAAAAGTTTATTTCAACTCATAGTTTCAGAAGTTCAGACCATGATCACTCAACTCCATTGTTCTGGGCCCCTGATGAGGAAAGATGCTCAATTCCTGACATCTTAGAAGATGAAAGAGAAAGCAAGGCACCCAGGGACAAAATATAAACCCAAAAGGCATGGCCCCAGTGACCCTTCCTCCAGTCAACCATATTTATTACTGGTACAGTAGTCCTTCTCAATTATTAATCCAACAAATGGATTAATTCAGTGATTAAGTTATATATCTCATAATCTAATCATGATCTTTTGAGGGGTACCTCATAATCATAAAATGTTTGCATGAAGTTATATTCCATTTCTCATATTTTTAAAAATATTATTATTATTATTATTATTATTATTTTGATTCCACAGAAAGTGTTAAAAAATGTCTGTTGATTCCTCAGGAGTCCTTCTGATTTTGTAAGAAGAACATAATCAGACTATGATACTTCCTACTGACTACAAATATTCAATTTACATGTTTTTTACATATTTTGGAGTATTACCTTGAAGCCATAAAAAGGATGATTTTCTCATAGAAAAGTTTTGCTTTTATTTTGAAACACTAAGGAACTGTTAAAGAATTTGATGTAGGATATTTTAACAATTTTTATAAATTAAGAAAGCAGTTTCTAAGTCACGATTATTTATGATGCTTTGTAAAGGAGAAAGGTTTCCTTTTGCCCCCTTAGGTTTTGAGAGTAACCTAAAAATTAAACAGATAGGACAGACTTTAACAGAAATATCACACAAATTTCTTGTTACTTGTACACAGGAGTCTTCAGAAGGAAAATGAAGGCTGGAATAAGTTGTTAGGCCCAAAAGCTTATAAACCTTTTTATACAAGAAAAATAGAGGGTGACAAGACAAAGAGACTTGGGATAGGGTCAAAAAAATTGTGGGTCAATAACTAGAAAACACATAGGGGTATCAACTGAAAGATGAGTTCTTTTAGTGAGCTTGTTTTACACAGATCCATTCCAGTATTGACACCCAGTTTGGGATAGAAAAAATGTTCTCCTCCTGGTACAGCACGGAGGGCTTATTTCTTATGAGAAATTTTATAGCCTTCTTTCAGGTAGAAAAGGGAGGGCAGGCCAGAGAGAGCTTCCTGCGTGTGCTATTTCTTGAGTGCCTGCAGCACAAAATAATCAATATGCCAAAATAGCATATTTAGAGGTGGCATATTCTGAACCTCTTCACCTTCTATAACTCTGACAAAAGGATATTCTGTTACTGAGAAAGGCACCATGACCAACATAGTGCTTCCAAAGCCAGGAAGTAAATAGTGTTAAAATGTTTCTCTTTTTAAGGAAGAGAAAACTCAACTACAATAAATTAGGGCAGGGATAGAGATGTTTTTGGGTTTTGTCACATATTCGAAGGAGTAACAATTTCATTTTAACTTCATGCAGATTGGAGTTTTGTCAGTGGCAGTAGGAGTAACAGAATCATGTTGCAATACAAAATCAATAAAATTAAAATTGTCTTAAATAGTATACCTACAACTAGTTGCAAACATGTGTAGTCATCCTCCTTAATCATGTAACAGCTGAGTGCATATCAGGTTTTTTGTCTCCTCCAGAGTTAAATACATTTTTCTATAATGACCTATAATAAATGTATATTTAAAATCTTTTTTTCCTTTTGTATGAACAAATCTATTGGTATTTTCACCTCCCTTGAGAAAAAAGAATACTAAATAATCAAAGTGTGGAATCAGTCTTTTTCCTTTTCTGGCTCTTACCTGGAGGAATGCATCTTGTATTCAGAAAACAAAGGTTTTTGTTGTTGTTGTTGTTTGTTTGGTAGGTTTTGTTTTGTTTTGTTTTGTTTTTGTTTTGTTTTTTAAATCCTTTAAATAGCATAAATAGGTAATAGGAAAGAATAAGCAATTCAGCTTTGTGGTCTATCTCAGATTTGAGGCATCTTGTTAAACAACAACTCCTATTTTTCTTTACCTATTGATTTTCTTTCCTCTATATAGCTTAAAAGAAGAAAGAAAGAAAGAAAGAAAGAAAGAAAGAAAGAAAGAGAGAGAGAGAGAGAGAGAGAGAAAGAAAGAAAGAGAGAGAGAGAGGGAGGGAGGATGAGAGAGAAAGAGAGAGAGAGAGAGAGAATGAGAGAGAGAAAGAGAAAGAAAGCACAAACTAAAAGAAAGGACCACTCACAGAATGCATTTCCCTATAGCCAAGAAAAGTCAAAATTAATTGTTAAAATTTTTAAAATTATTTACTGTACCAGGCAACTATAACAGATGGCAACTAAATCTACATTCTAGTTTCTTTATTGCTGATGTGAATGTGGAAAGAAATGTCCTGATTCCAAAATTGGTTTAGACTAAAAGATGAGATTAATATATTAAGCCATAAATTATTTACTTTCTCATTATATGATAAAATCATCAAAAAAGAAAATTTGACTTAAAATGATATTATAAAGCAAGTAGAAATATAAGAGCCAAAGCATTTTATAATATCATTTTCTTTAACATAGTACACACTTTAAAGACTTTAAGAATATTTATTTTAATCTTAGAATTTCCACTGTTAGAAGAGAATCATCAAAATATAAACATAGCAACTGCTTTTCTACCAAAACTCCCACTACATATTAATTGCATTATTTACTTATGCACACTGCATTATGAACATCTTCTTATTTGCAGAATAACCCCTTTAATGAACACTATTTGAAAAAAAGAAAAATGGACCATTCTCGACCCAGGAAACAGAATGAAATTAAAAAAATAAGTTGACTTTAAAGCAGTGATTTTATTCTGTTAAAGAATACAGTGATTTATGATACACATCCATAAAAGTATAACATGGAACCAAATTCTAAATGCTATTCCACATGTCATGCTTTCCAATTTTTTTTCAAATTGTATTCTCATCCTCAGATTAACTCACTTGTTAATTTCTGTATATTTGCCTCTAAAATCTTTCTTTTA